ATATTTGATTCTGATACAGCCGAAGCGGTGAAGGGCAAATAAATTTGAGTCGCCCTCCATTGTACTTAATGAAAACGTACGTACCAACTGAAGCTTTTAAAAAAAAGCGGTCAAGTTTTCTCTCCTTATCTAAACATGATTATGAACTTTGAATTGAAAACGTTTACTTTATGGAAACGAATAATTTAAGTCGACATCGACATTAATTGTTATCATTGATCATTAATTATTGGCTTTCTTTTTTTCCGGCCAGAGCATAAAGAAAATTTTCATACAATTATAAAAGAGCGAGTTTCTGAAGCATATGACTTGATTTCCGAGGATCTTCAATAAAAGACAGAGGATGCATTTTTTGCGTGATCCGCAAACGCGGAAATTGTTTGTCGCACTTTGGAATGATCGGCGGCTTTTGTAATACCTGTCCCATAATGTGATAAATGTTGCACTTCATAATATTTCTCGCACTTTTTAATAACGCGTGTCGTACTTGGTAATCATAAAGCTGTCACATTGGTAAAGCTACTATTGGGTTTACTTACAAAGTGCGGTAAGCGTTGTTGGAAGTGCGACGGGTTATTTCATTACAGTGTTAAAACAAAATGCAAACGATTTTTCTCTTACTGACATACAAAGTCAATGCGTGTCCTTCGGAATTGTAACGACGACCCATTTTGTGAAAGGTTTTACAAAAGTAGGTAGCTCGCCTTTTTAGACAGATGCTGCAGTGCCTATTACAAAATATGTTAGTGATTAAAAAATGCCGCGACCATTTGCGTAGGTTATCATAAAATACTTCGTTATTACAAAATGACGCGGAACAGGGCGACAGGTATTACAAAGTGCGACAGAGTGAAAACTTTCGGTCTGAAATCCGTACTTCTGATTTTTTTTGTTTTTTTTTTTTGTTTTTTTTTTTGGCGCGTAAGATTTCAGACTAAATTGCACTCCAGCTGGTTCAAATACCATTATAAATTGAACAAAGTAATAATGATATCATTACCTCGGGGCTGGTCATTAAGTGATTGAATCAAATTCAATTTTCTTTTTCAGTGTAAAACGTCAATCATGGGCCATGATGTTTCAGCGTAATCTTGTGGGAAATCTTAACCTGAATTATAGTGGGTAAAGTATGAAGTAAGCATTATCTGTTTTTTACTCGTTAACTGATTTATCAACTATCTTGGACGAAGTAAGTGAGTCACGGAACATTTGTAGCCCTTTCCCTCACTTCAATTATACGGTAGAATTTGAAACTTTGTTGACACTCTGGGGAAACTGCTGCTTGCCATCTTTTGTGCGCCCACCTCCTCGTGCGTCTTTGCTTAACTGTAAGCCTCTAACAGGTCAAATTCGTGAAGACAGTGAAAGGGAGGAGGCTTGAGATCTTGATTTTATTAAATGTTACTGATCAAAAAAAAAAGAAAAAAAAAAAGAGCAACATCCGTGCAAACCTCATTTAAACAGAATTATTTAATCAGTAGCTTTCCTCTTTCAGATAGTTTTTCCACCCCCAAGATACATTTAAGAGAAATGACGTCAGGATGACGCACACTTGTAAATTCCATAGAAGTATTTTCAACTGTTTTTTTAACTAGCATGAGTAACTGTTTGATCAAACGAGGCCAAATGAAAGATTTCTTTTCATTGTATAACAGAGGGAAGCAACATACGATGCGGTGTAAATATATTATCAAAAAAGAAAGTTGATGATTGAACCTTCGGGATCTGGTAAATAGTCTGCCATAGTCGTATCTCTGGTAAAGTAATTGATAAGTTTCTTCCCGCGTTTTGTTTAGTCTTTAACAATAATCCAGACAAAAATGATATCCCATATTCGACAGAATTAAAGCCCTTTCTAATACAGACGACTGTTAGATTTTGTCAGCTACAGCTTGATTAATATGTTATTTTCATCGTTGTGTCCAACTGACAGGATTCCTTGATGCATATCAACGGTCCACACCCAAGAATAATTGTCTTTACGGCTACAGATTCGTTTCTAAATCCCTGTAGATGTTCTTTACTTGTTCTCAATGATTTATTTCGTTTGGTTTCAATTCAGTTTTACAAATAATACTTATTATTAAAAACTGGATCATTGGATAATGCAATTCAAGACTTTTTATTGGCTTAATTAGCCATTATGCCTATATGAGCCAATATACCATAATCTACAACTATGGTAAGCGTACGAGTCAGCTTAAAATTAAAAGGGAGCTAAAAAATTTAATAAAAATTAATATTTTAATTTAACGTTTTTAATTAAACAATTATTCCACTCGCGCTTGTTGGATGTGAGATGACTATAGCCAACGCGGTGCTAAGCGCCTCGTTGGCTATCTATCATTTCATATCCAACCCGCGCTCGTGGAATAATTGTTAATTATATTCTAGAACACCTGCCACCATGTTACATGGCATCTCTGTTAGCCCTGGCAACATAAGAGTTACTGAAGAGATTCTTAAGACCTCGACGATAATTTGTACTTAATATAAAACAGATACAGGGGTTCATAGCGCTGTTTGTTCGGCTCAGTAACAGACAAAATTGCCCTAATAACAGGATTCCACAGGGTATTGTAGAATTATTTTTAACCGCAAAAATTGCTAAAGTATAAATACTGAACGGAAACCAGCAGACAGCGAACCCTAAAACAATAGCAACGGACAGTTTGAGCGCATTTCTCTTTCTTCTCGAACGCTGAATTTGAGCGTTCATTGAATGCTCGCCTGGACTTGTTTGGAACTTCAGTTTCAAAAGAATCACAAGGTAAAGAATAAACATCAGAACGAAGGGGATGTAAAAAAATACGATAAAAAGTGCCATAAAGTATTTTTTCACCGACGAGGGATCGTCAGATACACGCATCCATTGCCGCACACACTTGTACTCCAGATGAGAAAATTCGACAAGTTTGAACGCGAGCAGATACGGGGTGACTATAGCTATGGCGATGATCCAAGTAGCGACGATGAAGAAGGGACACAATTTTGAGCTGATGAGTGGGGAACGAAGGGGAAATACCACAGCTACAAATCGATCCATTGCTATCAGTACCAAGCTCTGAATTGACACGGCAACAGAGAGATCGGACATAAAAGGAACAAGCTTACACAAAGCTTCGCCAAGATGGCCACTGATTAACCAATTATCGACATGCATCTCTGTTACAGTTTTCGGGAACAAGATAATCGGCAACAGGAGGTCTGATACAGCCATGTTCACAATAAGATAGTTTATGGGTTTTCGCAAAGCTTTTGTCTTGTAAACAATTATTCCAATAAAGGAATTTCCAACCAGTGAAATAAAAAATAAAAGGCAATAAGCAATTGTGTGCCCAATTCTTTCTGCTGTAGGATTAAAGCAGTTTGACGGCCGGGTTCCATTCACAGTTACGCTCAAGTTCATTGCCATTTCGTAGAAGCGGTCTTCAGTGACCGCTGAAGCCAAGCGTTGCTCTTATGGAAGTCTCAGGCAGCCCTATTCGTAGTGCGGCCACTTACTGTGAAAGCGAAGGAAATTTGAATATCTCATTTAAGTAAAACATACCGAAACCAATTACTCTAGGCCTTTATTTGGGTTTGTTGTCACATATCATGTTTTAAGTCTTTCTACTTTACTTAGAAGTGACGCAAATTTGAATACTCAACTAGGTAAAATGTACCGATTAAGAATTTGTTCATGCTTAGGGTGCGTATATCGAGTTATGGATGCACGCGGAAAGGAATAACCGTGATAACATATAATGTCGAACATATACACGTAACCAGCTTCAAACCATTTTTTGTAGTATTCACCTTAAAGGTTAGATTTCATCATACTAACTATGATTTCATGTGTATTATACTTTCTCATTTCATTACATATTAATCAGAAACTCTATCTTTATTTACATGACTGTAATAGGCACAAAAATATAGATCCTAGAGCTAGAGTTCAAACAACGGTTAGAACCGTTGAGCTAAGTTTCTTTTGGTATAAGGACGTGTAATACCTATCAGTATATGAGTATAAGATGTAAAGTATTGTCTCAAATTAATATTATTCACGAGTTTCGGAAATCAACTGAACGTTACGTGTCTTAGTCAGTTTTGGATATACAGCTAAAAATCCCTTAAATTTATTGGCTGACCATCATCGAGTGCTAATTTAAAAATTTTAGATACAATAAAACGAGGCTGCTCTAAAACAGTGATATATGTTATGGTATTTTCTCAACCGCCAGAAAGATACAACTCGTACCAACTTAACTACTTTATTCAATGACGTAGTAACCTTACTACGGAGCGATACCAATAACCAATACAATAACTATCCTCTTATCTTAGAGCCCCTTATAAAACTATAATCTCAGTGCGCTACTGCACGACTCACAGCTCTCTTCAGAGATCCTTGTACCTTATCGATGTCCACAATACTTTTCCCAACGTAGCCCGGCTTCCACACGGCTGACGATTCTAGTAACAGTATAGAATTGCAACGATCTTTATCCGGCTCTGTAACAACACTAGCTCCTCTCAAAACGTTCTAGAATATTTCAAGGATCTGTAATACAACTATTTTTAGTATCATTACATCACTATTGCATCATAACAAAATATGCTGACTAATTAAGGGTTCTAAAATGTTCCATTAAAAGTTCTGAATGAGTCAGCATGTCTAAGCGTTCCAGAAACTTCCTCATCTCTATATTTAGTAATTATGTGACACAGCATTTTGTAGACAATACGGGCAGTCTCCATAACATATAAGATATATCTAAGAGCTTGACTGTAATCATCTGTGAATCATATAAATTCATTTATTTATTTATTTATTTAAAAGCTTCGCCAAAAACAATTTGGCAGAAGAGATCTCACAGAGCTAACGTTCCATTAACGAGACTCTTAAATCCAAGAGACTCCTAAACGCAAGAGTTTACAATACCGTTTGACCAAGCCAGTCACTTAGGCAGTTGTTAAAAGTGGGAAACTAGCTGTCGGCATGGCAAACTTTATTCCTTTCGCTCCGACGAAGGGCTAACGCTCGAAACGTCAGCTTTTATAATCGCAACGGTGGCCAATTTACCATTTCAACTTTGTTGATATACTCAAATTATTTTATTCCTTGATGCTTGCTGATTAATCTGTAGAAGAGCAGCTGAGAAGATTCTTAAGAACTTGACGAAAATTACCGCTTAAGGTAAAACAAATGCAAAGGTTTACAGTGCAGTATGAGCAAGCCAGAAAGAAGGTAATAAGGGGCTGACTATTTAACTCTTGAGGGGGGTGGGTGATTTTGAAAAAAAATTTCCTGCAAGCGCTTATTGGAAGAAAAAAATGGCATGCAGCCCAAATGTAACAGAAAAAATGAGCATTTAGAACGGAAAAAATATCCTGCACAGCAGATTGCTAGAAAAAAAAATTCTTGATGACCAGAAATCACCCACCCCCTCCCCTCAAAAGTTAAATGGTCGGCCCCTAAGGTAGGTGTATTGGAAACCGCAAGATGACATAGTTTTTCTGTCGGATGAAAAGGAGATTAAGGAGATGATGATACTGTGTGGCAGCCAGCATATAGCAAAACCTAACACGATGGCAACTGACATCTTCAGAACATTTGCCTCTGTCTTCAAATGCTGTACTCTTACGGTAGCTGATTGCTCGCCTGGAATCTTCTGCGATTTAATTTTTAAGGCAATAGCAAAATAAAGTGTGGCAATCGGAACTAAAGGGACATGGCACAAAATAAAGATTAAACCCATCACGTAGGTTTGTACCGATATGGACTCCCCAAATGTCTCTTTCCACTGCCACCAACATACTTGCATGTTTAATTAATAAGCATGCCCATGCAGAAATTCGAGAAAATCGAGAGTCAACATCCGAGATGATTCTGTAACTGAGAAAAGAAGAGTTGGAAGTAGCTTTCATCCGAACTAACATAATCAATAAACGTTTCTGATATAAAATATGGTCGGCAAAAGGGATAATTTTCGAAAGATCTCCTAGAATTGTCATCATTATTATTATTAAGGAAATGACAAGAAAACGAGTCTAGAAACTGAGCCCAGCTACAGATGTTTAATGATATTGAATGAGAGTTGACAACTGCTGGTACGAATGATCACGCATTAAGCTAGCAAAAATATGATTATAACAACCAAAGGAAAGCGCGCGCTCTGATTGGTCAATTCAGCGTCCACCGTTTGCCCGTGGGTGTACGCTGTCGACGTGAGCAAATGTAAAGACTAGTTTTTCACGCGCGCTTGTTTTTTCTGGTCACTTAAGATTTGTTAAATAAAAGAAAACTCTTTTGCTACAATGTATCAATGATATGTTATAAGACAAATGGACAGAGTACACTATTGAGTTATGGATGCACTTAGAAGGTTTACTAAGTACTCAAGAAGCTAGAGTCGCTCTATCGCCTCGCACGACTGTTACGTTTCTTTCGTGCTTAGCAACCTCCCGCGTGCACCCATAACTCAACATGGTGCACGCCGTGGTGTTTACCATTGGTTAATCCGTGCTTCAGTGACATTGCAATTCAAAATTATTTTTCAATCAGACTGTCATCGATAGTTTAATCTAGCCTGGAACTTACTCAGAAGCCTCGTTGCTCAGTAGACGGATTGGAGTTTTAAAGAAAATTTGATGGATTTTAACGAAATTTTTGTTAAAGGAAATTAAAGCCTTAGGACAATAAAAGATGGATCTTGTTATGTGCGAGACGAATGGTATGCTTTTATTGGTCTCCAGAAAAACTTGTTTTGCACTGAATATAATTACTAGGCTTTCGAAATCGAAAAGGAAAAGCCAGATAAACTGAGTTAGTATTTCTTAGGAACAGTCTGCTCATTTGCACGTGATCACCTGTACATGATTGACAGTGCCTTCCTTTTCAAGCCTCCTCCTAAATAAATGAGTTAACAAATTTGAGAACTTTTCAAACGCATAACATAGTATCCTCTATTAACTGTATGTTTAATTGTAAGTGGTAAAAAGACCCTGGTCGTGTCATGCTTGTAAATGGAGCTATCTTTTAAAACTTCAACTGTAGACTCCGCTCTTTTGAAAAATTTCAAAAGTTTATCAAAAAGTTTGTTTCATTTATTTGTTTTAATGGTTTCACTCGGTCCGTTGTTCAACAGAACATAAAACTGAAACAGCATCAATTCATATTCTGATGCTCCAATTTTTGGTATGCCTGTCTTTGTGACGTCTTAAATTTCGTTCTGCTTGTGTAGCTTAATTTCCGTCTTCCAAAATTCTATTCCGTTTGTTCAATTGCTGTTCCAGTGTTTTAAGCAAAGAATTTATAATCTGCACAGGTTCTACATAACAGAATTTGAAACAGGATTTTAGCGGCGATGAGCCCCTATAGTTGACGGTCAAAACTTTTCCTTTTTGACAGTTGACAGTGATATTTTAAGCCCTTTGACGGCTGCCGTCTTCTTCGTGAAATACTTTTCAAAGAGTGGGTGTTTTGAGCAAGTTGGAGTAAAAGCAAAGAAAGGCATCCGCTGATTGGAAGCCACTTCAGACACTGCATGCACGAAATGAAGCTAACTGCTTTGGCAAACATTCACCTATAAAATGCGCTTAAAGATAATGCCACTGACATTTGTTTTTGAAACATCTTCATTATGACCACCTATAGTCGGCGTGCAGTAAATATTCGTCATAGAAGGAGAACATTTACAAATGCATGCAAATTAATGGTCTACCCAGTAAATTGACACACCTGCTTTGATAGACCAATCTTTACCCGATAATTTAACGTAATGGTTAATTTGCGCACATTAATAGATCTATTCCACCAGACTTGTTCCTGTATGGCCAGATTCAGTGTGCAGTTCAATGACGTATTTATATTCTTGCTTTTTTGTGAAGACACAAGAGCCAGCTGAATAAAATGTAATTTTCTAAAATTTCTTCCCCTTACGGTCAATACTGAGCTGCATTTGTGAAAAACATTTTCAACGAGCAGGTAAAAATTATGGCGATGATCCAAGTAGCGAGGACGAGGAAGGGTCACAATTTTGAACTGATGAGTGGGAACGAAGGGGAAATACCACAGCTACAAATCGATCCACTGCTATCACTAGCAGGCTCTGAATTGACAAGGCAGCTGAGAGATCGGCCGAAAAAGGAAAAAGTTTACACAAAGCTTCGCCAAGGTGGCCGCTGATTGGCCAATTATATCGACATACAGAATATCGGCAGCAGGAGGTCTGACGCTGCCATGTTAAAAATTAGATAAATTATGGGTTTCCGCATAGTTTTCGTCATGTAAACAATTATTCCAATAAAGGAATTTCCAAACAGAGGAACAATAAATAAAAGGCAGCAAGCAATTGTGTACCCAATCCTGTCTGCTGTGGGATTAATGCACTGACGGCTGGGTTCCATTCACTTTTACGCTTAAGTTTATCGCCATTTCGTAGACGCGTTCTTTAGTGAACGCTGAAGCCAAGCTGTCGAGAACATGATTACGTAATAAGGGTGTGACGCTATTAATATTTACTTAGCATTGATTGCAGTCCGAAAATAGTCTTGAACACGTGCTTTTCGAGTCGAACGAGCGAGGAATGAAAAGTTTGTATCGAAAGTAATTAGCGTTGAGCTTGAAGTAAAGTTTGTATCGAGACAACTAATCAGAGAATTAAAGCGCTGCTCTCGTGGAAGTCACAGGCAGCTCTATTTGTATTACCGCTCACTGCGAAAGTGACTGAAATTTGAATATATCATTCGAAACCAATCATTCTAGGCCTTTATTCTGGTTTGTTGTCACACATCATTTTTTTAGGTATTTCTACTTTACTTAATAATTTGGATATATCAACAGAGTTGAAATGGTAAATTGGCCACCGTAACGATTACAAAAGCTGACGTTTCGAGCGTTAGCCCTTCGTCGGAGCGAATTGAGGAATTGTGGGTTGTGTGTGCTTTTAAAGGCAGAAAACGTAGCTTCATTTTCATCTGCTGTTGTGTGAATTTTTCATCACGAGAGAAAGTTGACGATTGAGCCTTCAGGATCTAGTTATTTTGAACTAATGCATCTGCCATATCTTTGATGTAGGGATTGATGTGTTTCTTCCTTCATTTTGTTTAGTCTTTAACAATAATCCAGGTGAAGATGATATCCTGTATCGAGTACACCTATTGGTAAACTTCTCAGGAAATAACCTTCGTCTATTTTAAATTTGTATATTTCACTTCTTCATTACTTGATGATTGTCGTAATTGGCCTGGCTGGCGGAGACGACTGTTGAAAGCTATGGTCTATGCAGGCCAGTCTATTGATATGTAGTCGCAAGGCTAAAGCATACTAAGACATAAATGTGTGTGCGCGTGTGTGTGTGTGCGCGTGTGTGTGTCAAACTACAGTATCAGTGAAAAAAAAAAGCA